TTTGATGGTCGGGATGATTTGGATCTGCGCATTTGGGTCTTTTTATATTGGTATAGATATACATGAAGTTTTGCAGTTCTTTTACTTTTTCTTTGAGAAACCTCTTCACGCTTTATTCAACCGAAAATGTTCAGAGGAATGGTCACAATGCCATGTGGCGAAACTAATCACATATGTCTACCAAAACTCAGGGAAAAGAAAAAACTTTGCTAAACTATCTGCCTCGCAATCACTTCCTGGATCACCGCAGCATTAACACCACGTGAGTTGGTCTCTATATTCTTGATGACTGTCAAAGAGTCTGAAGCAACAAGTATCTGATCCTAAAGTTGTACAATTCATGCATAGCTCCCGGTCATCGTTTGAATCATTCGCTAGGTGGCAGGCCCGGAAGATCCCCGATTGACCAAAAAAGGCAAATGACATGAACCCTAAAAAACATTTTCTTATAAAAACACATAGAAAATCTAAAAAAAATGAAAAATGGCATGCTATGAATTTATGAAAAATGTCATTCTCTAATATCAGGAAAACAATTAATGTTAAAAAATATAGTTAAACTTATCGTGGTCTGAAAATTTGAGTTGCCATGTGAACACAGAAGAAGATGAAAAATGCCATGGTAAAAAAAATGCCATCTAAAAATAACAAACTACCATCTCTTAATAATAAAAATTTCATCTCTTAATATAAAAATGCCCTCTGTTAATAATAAAAAAGGCCATATCTTAATATAAAAATGCCATCTCTTGGTAATAAAAAATGCCATCTCATAATATAAAAATGCCATCTCTTAATAATAAGAAAAATGCCATCTCTTAATATGAAAATGCCATCTCTTGGTAATAAAAAATGCCATCTCTTAATATAAAAATGCCATCTCTTACTAAAAAATGGCATCTCTTAAATAAATAAAACTGTCATCTCTTAATAAAAAATGTCATCTATTATTATAAATAAAAAATATCATGTGATATAGTTTAAAGAATTATAAACTACCATGTTGATTTTTCTTAGAGAAAATGCCTCCGGTGAAAAAAAGAAAAGAAAAAGGGTAGAGTGGGATTCTAACCCAGGTATAGCAAATGGAGGGTCGCACTGCTAGCCAATGCGTTGGCTCTAGTGTTTTGAAAACTAGTTCGCTGGTCCTTTTTTCTTATACCAGGCTGGTTTGGAAATCCGATGTGGCTTTGATCCTGCGTCAGGATTCGTGCAAACGAATCAGACGGGAGATAGGGTGTCCGCGGGAACAATCAACCTGATTGACGTTCGCTAAATAAGATTTCCGTTTGGAAAAGTGTCAAGAAGAGAAGACTTGTGTTGTGACTTTGAAAACAAAAACTAGTTCTCCAAAAAGCATTTTTCAGCACCAAAATTGTTTTTCACACATGATTGTTCTTCTTTTCTCCATGAAAATTTACATGTAGACATAGGGCACATATCCTTTCCAGAATTTTTGATCATGAAACCTCATTATTTGTTTCACCTGAAAATAGGGATGTTAGTTTTGCCCATGGGTATGAGTACCCATGGGCACACTATCCGGAAATAGCGAAAATGGATGAGACATTGTACCTATGAGCAATGGGTATTCATACCTACAAAACATATGGACATGGCATGGGTATAAAATTATGTTGATACTTAGAAATAATTAATAAATAAAAATAACTCCTTTAACACGAGGGTGGAGAAATTTACAATTTATACATATTGCAAAACCCACTGTGCTTAAAATTGGAAAATGATGCCAACACATGACCCGGATATTTACAGAGTGAACCCATCATAATAAACTTTCAATGTGGACACTCAAACTGAAGCGTTACCCTATATTTCCTAGCTGATCATATAGACTTGTGTGCGTTACAATGATACATGCAGAGAGTCTTAATCTCTCTTTTTTTGTAAAAAATCGAATATAATATAAGAAAATGGCACATGATATTCAAGTAAAAAGAAACCAAAACAATAGACTAGAAATTTGTGTCTCCTCGGCTGCCCGAATAGATTTCGTTTCTGATCTGCACTCTCCTTGGTACCTCATGATCTAATAGCATACATGTTGAGATACTCTTGTATTTTTAGAGTATGTTTTTGGTGTTCTCCTTATCGGAAAGGTATTTCATTGTGAACAATCCATCTACCCTTTCTAGTTCTACGCGTGTGTTTGATTCAGCTTCAGCTGCCAACTTTTCAGTCTAAAAGCTAGAATCTGAACCAAAGGAGATGTCCAGCAAACCAACTTCTTGAGAATCTAGAAAGTCTTGTAGTGCATTTTGTGAGCCGGTCTACTTCCAATTTTTTGAGCTTCTCAATCAACCACTCTATTCTTTTCCTAGAAGTGGAACGGTATTTACCCACCTTGCCACTAATAAGTCAAAAAACTTTTTAATCTATTCCTTGAGCGAGCGAGCGAACAAAGAGAGTGCCTCCCTCCTGAGCAAACGACAAAAGTAACTTGGCCTCCTTTGCGAGCGCGACAACTAGGGTTCCTAGCCGCCGCCAATACTGTTGGCCCTCTACCGCGCCGCCCCTAGCCATAGAAGCCTCCACTACCGCAATGCTGGTACAAGAGCCCAACAGCCGCTCCCGCCAAGTAGTGCCGCCACCTGGAGCTACGCTGGTGACCATTCCATAGACAGGTAGCCACCACGCCTTCCTTCTCCCTCCTTCCCTCACCCTCCATCCTTCCTCTTGCATCCTATATTTGTTACTATCCTATTTTTTCCAATGGCCACGAGCTTACACTTGATAGCGTAGAATCCCTTAGCCCACATGGCATAGCTCACACCTGGCTAGTGATTCAATAGTCTTTCATGTTTCCCATCAGATTATCAGAATAACAATAATAGTTAAATTGCTATATTTCATCATTTACTTTCTGAAATGGTCGTTGAATTGCTTACCAATGTATAAATGATTTTTTTAGGTCAGTTAGCATATAAACAATATTTCAGCCCCCGGGTCATTACAGAAAATTCATATAAAATCTACAGGTTTACGTTTGTCTCAAACGAACAACTTTTAGCTTTTCCACAATTCTTAGTTCACAACATCTTTCTTAGCTCGCATATGCTTTTTTGAAACCCACAACTTAGCGCAAATGAAAAAAAGGTCTGAACTGTTCACGAACAATAGATTTTCGGAAAAACTAACACCCATATGTATGGGCGTTTGCATATTGCCCACACGCCTCCATCACCACTCATTTTGTCACGTATGAACAGATGACATCAGCAGATTTTTTTTGTTTTCGGCTTAAAAATGTTTTATCTCCTAATTAAAAAAGCGAATTAAAAATCCGCTTTCACCATTAAATCCGTCTCGACGAGATCTTCAAAACTAAACCTCATGTTGATATGTTTCGATGATTTTTTTTGCCCAAAAGTTGCCATGATGTTTAAACTGTAGTTGCCATAGTGCTTAAACTAAAGTTGTCATGTGGCAAATTTAGTTTGTAGATCATGGTAATTTTAATTCTTTGGTGATGTCAATTCCAGTACTTTGACCATAAAAATATTTTTTTATGAACCATGGCAATTTTAAGTGCATGTATCATGGCAATTTTAATTTATGGTGCATGGCAAGTCTAGTTTCTTAATTCCCCATGTTATAATATGTCAAAAATTACTTTTAAATGTAGAAAAAAATAGCTGAAACATATCATGGCAACTTCAGTGTAAACATCATGGCAATTCATGTACAATAGACACGGCAACTTTTAACCAAATAAAAAATTCGTCAAAATATATTGATATGAGATCTAGTTTCAAAGATCTCATCGCGAGGGATTTAATGGTGAAAACGGATTTTCAATCGGATTTTTCATTTAAGAGATAATACATTTTAAAAACAAGAATTCAAAAAGATTTTCGCATGCATGGCGTAGTCTGTGTTATAGGGCGTGTGGGCAGGTTTAGCTCCCACCACACGTGTGGGCGCTTTGGGAGCAATTTCGCTCCTCTCACACTTTCGTTTTTATGCTGAGAACTACAGGCAAATAGATGGATCAGGCCCGCTTAAAATTCCAGCAGCCCATATACACGTAGTGGCCTCCTCTTGAAGGGAAAAAAAAGGAAAGAAAGATGTATACGAGTTTCAAAAAAAAAAGGTGTATACGATGACCTCCAAAGAAAAAAACAAATGATGCATTGTGTTTTCCTCTCTTTTATTTTTTGCGGGCTATTGCGTACGCGTAGCTCGTTGCAAAAAAAAAACTACGCGTAGCTATTCGCAAAAAAAAACTACACATAGCTTAGCCTCTACGCGACGTATTCTGTACAAGTACGGGGTAGAGCCGCGTACGTACATACGCATCTCTACCGGCCGCTGCAGCCGTTCTCGTCTCCTTCGATCTCGCGAAAGCAAACCCTAGCGCTCTTGCGAAAAGCTCCTCGATCCATCGCCATGGCGCCATCGGCTTCCGACGTCCTGCGCCTCGACGGCAACGGGAACCCAAGGACGCTCCGCCTCTTGGCGTCGCTCGTGGAGGCCGAGTCCCGCCGCTTCGCCGCCGCCGCCTCCGAGCCCGCCGAGAACGACCTCGTCCGGGCGTTCCGCGGCGGCGCGACCCCGGCAGTCCCCATCGCCGAGTTCCTCGAGCGCCTCCAGCGCTGCAACTACTTATTCGATGGCGGCGTCTACGTCCTCGCGGCGGCGTACCTCGCGCATTGCGCAGCCCCGCCGCTCTCGAGGCTGGGATCGTCGTCGAGCCGGCCACCGCGCACCGCCTGGTTTCCGTGGCGGTCCTGCTCGGTGCCAAGTTCAGCAGCCCGAGGTACTTCGAGAGGCGGGTGGAGTCGTTCCAGATATGCTCGGGCGAGTCCATCCGGTCCACCGAGCTGTGCCCGCTCGAGTTGCTGTTCCTACGCGCCCTCGACTACCGCGTCTTCATCGGCGACGAAGAATTCCGGCGCTTCTTCAGGATCCTGGAACGCCGGCCAGCTCCAGCGCGCAGCGTGGCTTGTGCAGCGAAGAAGAGGAAGGCCGAGGAGGAGGTGGAACCACGCCGCGTGCGAGCTTGCCAGCTAGCCGCCCGCTACGGCATCTCAGGATTCAACCAGAGCTAAGTTCTCAATTCTCTCTCTCTCACTATTGCATCCTCGAATTGTTTCTTGCATTGCATTTGAATCATGCCAGTCAGGAACTCACCACGCTTTCCTTGTTTGGTACTCCTACTTACTGTCGTTTCTGTGTTTTCAATGGAGGTTGTTTCCGGTGGAAAGGAGTCAGAGGACGAGAAGCTAGAGCTCACAGCAGACGCTGGAGATCAAATGTTGGCCTAAATGTCAAGTCTGTCAGATTAGTATGACAAGTGTTAGTTGACTCGAGTCCACTGTTGTCGTCTATGTCTAGTCTTGGCTAAGAAGTACTCCCTCTGTCCCAAAATATAAGAACGTTTTTTTATGCTAGTCCCAAAATATAAGAACGTTTTTGACACTATGATAGTATAAAAAACGTTCTTATATTTTGGAACAGAGGGAGTAACGTGCTACAGTCAGTTAGTCACTCCCTCCTTCACAAAATAAATGTTGCCGATTTAGTATTAAATTCAGACACTTATTTTGGGACGGAGGGAGAGTCCTTGTGTAAGATTCTTTTTATATATCAATAAAGACTATTCGATGTTTTGCAGGATGGCTCATAGCATCGTGCAATTCATGTGTCCAGAAATTATTTAGCCCAAATCAGAGTTAGTGTTCTCGTCTAGCAATTCTGTTACGATCAGCTATTCATTAGTACTGTAAGATCATCAAGGTTTCAATTTCAAAGATCAATAAAGAGTATAGTTTTTGCTGGATTTGATATCTTCGAAATATGCAGATCGATCACTGACCTGCATGGACAATATACAGTATTTCCCTGTGTTCTTCTTTCATAACATAATAAGTCTTGAAGGAAACGAAAGGATTGTTCTCAGTCTCATGTCTAGGGCCAAACGACATACATGTTCTGAGCAGGAAACAATAATATATACTTATAACCCTGATGCACAATCGATTCACAATAATGCATCTTACACGCACACCTGCATTGACAACTGCTGTGATTGCCATGAGAATGTGGCCACATAAATAACCCAACACTTCATACAACAAGATCATACCAATCTTCTGGATTCGAATGGCTGCTCTGGCTAGTGACTATGACTCCACTGAATCTGACACGAAAAGAAGACAACAAATCAGAGAACTGACAAGAATTCTCCACTAAAAAATGAACATGTGCAAACATGAACTGATTATAGGTATACACATGACCAGATATAAGAGCACTTGGTAAAACTTATGAGAAAGACTGTCAGGCCCAGTTCATAGCCTTCCCCTGTTCCTGCGTGCCAGATGTCACTGTAGCCGTAGATTTCTCATCGTGTGGCTCTAATGCGAAGATAACGGTTCGATCAAGTGGGCAGCTCTCCTCCGTCGATCTGCTATCCAAGGGCGGGCCATGTTTCAGACACAGCTGTAGCTGATCCGACAAGCGCATGTGCTCTGTCTCTGCTTTCTTTCACTTTTCTCTTTTGTAATGGCTATAAAGCCAACCACCCTGCTCGGGAGAGGGCATGATTCTGTGATTTGGGTGTAAACCCTAGCCGCTTGTGGCGTGCTGTACCAACTTTCCCAAAACTCTCAACAAGAACCCTAGCAATTTGCTCTGTTCTTCTGCTAAATTTCCTGGTTTGTGCGCTAAATTGCTTAGATCGTAGCTCTGATCCTGACAATTGGTATCAGTGGCCAGTCTTTCCTCGGAGGCGTCTTCGATTTGAGCAGTGTTGGGGTTGGTTGCGGCCGTAAAATCCCTCTACACTCTTGAATCGGGCGGCGGAGTAGTTCGGAGGCGGCCGGAGTGGCAGAATTCGGATACAGTCGGAATTGCAGCCTGGTTGCCGGGGAAAATTTCTCTGGTGGTAAAACCCCAGCTCCTGCGAACTGACCGTGTATCGGCGGAGGCGGGCGCGGGCGACGGCGTAGGCGGCGGCGACGAGAATTCCCTCCCTCCCACTGGTGCTACTCGCTGAGGCTGTCAAGATGACGGGTCAAGCTGATTCGGTCACGACGGCTGAATTACAGCTAGAATCACTAGAGTTGGACATCAAGACGCTGCAGCGTGACCGAGAGGAAGATCGCAAAGAGTTTCAGCAATTCCAGGCGACTGTGAACAGAAATTTCGCCATGATGCAGAAACTTTTTGAGAAGATCCAAGACAATTTTAGGCGCTTGCTGTCAGATCCGGAGCCAATTACTTGTAACGCCCCGGATACAACTTTCCATATTCGTAACTCCAACTCTTGCCTTTTCCGGAGATGCGATATGATTTTTCCTTCGTGGTTGGGTTTTTGTCCTTTGTTTTGCTTTTGTTCATGTCTTGCATCTCATCTCATAGCATCATGCGCATTGCATCTGCATGTTTTCATAAAACTTGCATCCGCTCGTAGTTGCCGCGTCCCCCTTGCTTTTGTTGACCGTTCCGAGACCAACCTTGTTTTCTTTCATTTTCCCTCTTGCCTAAAGCGGAGTCTCTTTGCACAGCGCATCGACCCCTCGCCCGTGTCCGAAACTTCTCCGAACCCGAACCGCTCGGTCATGACCAACGGGTCCGGATCATCCCCCAACATCTACAAAACATCTCCGTTTTCTTATTTAGACTCCCTATCTATTTATTTCTCGACCGTCCGATTAAAATCGGAGGGACCAAATACCCCTATCCAAAATTCACTTGTGTTATATAAAGACTAACCCTAAAACCTAGGGACCTTGTCCCATCCACCCGTCGCCGCCGCCGCCGCCACTCCACCAAATTCCCCTCGGGATCCTCCTCCTCCTCGTTTTCCTCCACCCACCAACCAGAGCTCTCCACCGCTCCTCCCCGATTTGCTAGCTTCGATCCCGAGCTCCTCTGCCCGTCTCCCCTCGATCCATCCACCCAACCACACCGCAGCAGCCGCCACCCCCTCTCTTCCCGAGGCCCGAGCAGGAGCGCTCGGCCTCGTCTTCTCGCGCGGCCAGCCGCCTCGACGGCGACCTCCAGGACCACCGCCGCGCCCTGCTTCTTCTTCCTGCTCGAGGAGATGCCCCTCGCCTCGAGCACCAACGCTCCAAGGCCGTCTTCTGCAGTTGCGTCGTCGGAGCTCCCCACCACCAGCAGGCAGCCGCACCTCTCCTCCGTCCCCTCCTTCCCTTCGCTTTCTCTCTCTCCCTCTCATCTCCCTGCTTCCTCTCTCTCGCAGGGACTAGCAGGAGCGCCATGGACGCCCGATGCTCAAGCCACCACCGGGAACCGCCCCTCCGCCGTCGCGTTCCTCTGCCCTGCGCCGTGGATCCGCGCCAAGTCCCGCCGCGTCGAGCTCTGCTTCCCCCGCGCGCGCTCCCTCCTGTTCGTTCAGATCGAGCAGCAGCAAGTCGTCCGTTGCGTTGACCGCGTCCCCTCCACCTCCTCGTTCGATCTAGCCAGGAGCGCCAGCCTCCAGCGCTCTCCAGATCGGGCCCGAGCCAAGGCCCAGCTCGCCTCGCGTCCCTGCAGGCCTCCCTCACCACCGAACCGGGCCTTGGCCCAGGGTGAGCAGACCCCGCCCCCTCTCCCGTGCACTTTGGCCCAGCCAGTTTCGGCCCGTGTAGTTTTTTCCCTTGCTGCGAATTTATCTGTTTATCTAGTGATTTAACAGTTTGCAGAAACCCCTTGCACTTTATGCATATAATAACTCATGATCTGTGCATCATATGTAAAAACTTCATATATGTAAAATGCTTAGTTTTTCATATAGTTTCATAATGTGCAACTTTCATCCCTGTTAAAAATATTTAAAATTGCTGTTTGCATTAATTTGCATAAATGCCATGTTAAAATAATTTATTTCATAACTAAATAATTGTAGCTCGGTTTTAAATAAACTTTATATGTATTTGGGGTGGGAAAATGCCTAGTTTAACGTGGTCCACTTTATTTTCCTGTTTAACAACCTTAAAATATGTTTTAGGGCAGAACAGTACCAAATACATAATTTGCATATGAGGATTTTCCCGGAACTGTTGTTTGTTGTTCCGGCCTCATTTAAATTTGCCTAGGTAGGTAGTTTAATTATGCTTCACCTCTTGCCATGTTTAACAACATTTAACATTGCTTTGTAGCTTAAACGAGATTAAACTAAATATGTCAATGTGGTGTTTTGTCAATATGCAACTCGTTGCATATTGAGCTCCACTTAACTTGTAGTGTGGTTTGTTGCATTTTGTCATGCCATGCCTCATTAAACCGGACATGCATCATACTTGTTTGTGCATCATGCCATGTTTATGCTTGGTTGTTTACCATGTTGTTTGTTTCTTTCCGGTGTTGCTTCTTAGTTCCGGTAATGTTGCGATTGTGAGGATTCGTTCGACTACTCCCGTTTGTCTTCTTCATGGACTCGTTCTTCTCCGTAGCAGGATTTCAGGCAAGATGACCGCTACCCTGGATCTCACTACTATCATTGCTATGCTAGTTGCTTCGTTCTATCACTATGTTGCGCTTCCTATAACTTGTTCTATCAAGCCTCCCATATTGCCATGAACCTCTAACCTTTGACACCCTTCCTAGCAAATCGTTGTTTGGCTATGTTACCGCTTTTGCTCAGCCCCTCTTATAGCGTTGCTAGTTGCAGGTGAAGTTGAAGATTGCTCCATGGTGGACAGGGTTATGTTGGGATATCACAATATCTCTTATATTATTAATGCATCTATATATTTGGTAAAGGGTGGAAGGCTCGGCCTTATGCCTGGTGTTTTGTTCCACTCTTGCCGCCCTAATTTCCGTCATATCGGTGTTATGTTCCCGGATTTTGCGTTCCTAACGCGGTCGGGTGATTTATGGGACCCCCTGACAGTTCGCTTTGAATAAAACTTGTCCAGCAAGGCCCAACCTTGGTTTTACCATTTGCCTCACCACCACCTATACCCTTCCCTTGGGTCGGCCAACCCAAGGGTCATCTTTATTTTAGCCCCCCCCGGGCCAGTGCTTCTCTAAGTGCTGGTCTGAACCGGGCAGACTGCGGGGCCCCCTCGGGGCAACTCGAGGTTTGGTTTTACTCGTAGGC